CTGCTCAGTTCAGTGTCCTAAGAAACCTACGAGTGAGTGGTGGCTGCTACTCCACCGTCGCTTCAGCCACGTCCGTTTCCAGTATTCAAAAATAAGCATTTCAACTGCGGTGATTCTCAAATTAATATCATTAAGAATCTCATGCTCTTCCATAACGTCAACGACCAAGGCTCCATTTTACTCCATTTACTCCACTTACGACTACGAGGGCATCCAAGTGGGTGTGGAGTGGTGACTTTTTGATACCGGTAGTTAGAATTTTCATAATCTGGGCTTGGTACATTTATTAGCTGTTTGTGTAAAGTTTAGCGCGTTTCTTGTTTATTTTAGTGTTACTTCAGGTACATACGTGTTTCGGCATTTAGGTGGTACACACCATGACATTTCAGAAATATGCGATAATCATCGAACCTCAATTTCGAACTCAGGAACGAGCCAACGCGTGCGGATCTCCTCCGACCGGGGGCGTAGAAGACCCATGGCGTTCAGCACGCCTCCCTTTATCCACCTGGGTATTGACGCCAGGACCGGCAAATCCTATCACATCTGCTCTCGAAAGGTGCGCTTCCTAACTCAACGACAAAGGGTCTTGAACCCCAAGCGATCCAAACTCCGCGGAACGGAGCGCTTGGATTTTCAACATGCACCAAGCTTCTTTATTCATCGTCCTTTTTGCGCTTACTAACAGCACCAATATACTATCTTGTTACTGTAATGCTACAACCCAGTCGCTGTTGTCCTTCGGTGCGATCCTGTTGCTGCTAGTGGCCATGTCTTCTGAGAGGTTCCTGTTCAAGGTCATGGTGGACCGAATGGAGTCGTACAGGTATATGAGCTGCTATGCACTGCAAGTAATGATTTTTTTAAAAGAAGTTAGCGACAGTATACAGGCTAACAGGCTGTGGTAGATACTTTCTGTGCCAGTTCATGACATTCCTGTACATACCCCCGATGTTCTGCATCGTCAGCTACAAGGCGACACATGAGGTAAGCAAATTAGTGTGGATTGCAGGTGGAAGAAGATACTGAAGGCTCTTTGGTATTGTATTGCAGGATCTTATGGAAGACGATGGGATGGAATTCCCAAAATTCCACTTTTTCGTCATGGGGCTGCTGGATCTCCTTCATGTAAGATCACGTTGCTCGAAGCTGGACTAATTCAACAAATACTAACGGTGGATTTTGTGCTTAAACTCTGTTTGTTTTTAAATTGAGCTAGGGCCTGATGTTGTTTATTGCCGGTGGGCGAACAGACCCGACGCAGACGCTGTTATTCATGCAGGCGTCTATCCCGATATCAGCCTGCATGTCAGCAGCGTTTTTCGGTGTCAGGTACGGAGCCTTCCTTTTCTACGAAAGGCTACAATTATTTACTAAATGATTCGTATTTTTCTTTTAAAGATACACAAGAGCTCAAGTTGTAGGCATGCTGATTATCACAGGCGGACTCATCCTTTCTTTAATCCCCTGTATTGAAGAGTACGTTTGGTCACTTGCGCTATTCAGTGATTTAAATTCTGACTTCAAATTTGTTTCTACTGTACAGCATTCATAGCAAAGAGTTCGAAGACCGAGAGATTGGCTGGAACAGGTACGACCAAATAATTTGTCTGCATACTAGAGGTGAAAAGCCTAACAACGTGGATGCGTGTGTAGCGTGTTCTACCTTCTTGCAGCAATTCCGGGATCATTGTCGATGCTGTATAAAGAGCGTGTGATCCGTGACCAGCCCGTGGACATGTCGTACTTGAATGCTTGGGTTTCGGTCAACCAATTTATTGCTGGATTGTTGGTAGCTCCGATCATCTTTGATGCTGAAGTAGGTTATTTTGTCCTTGGCAAGTCTTCATTATCATCTGATAGACTTGAATCTTACGAGATGTTGTTTTATAATGCTGTTCTAGTTTCTCCATCTCGACCAGAAGACCAGTGGTTTGATGTGTCTCATTCAAGGCGAGAGCGAGGTGTCCACAGATCACTGCTATGTACGTTTTTCTTGGCGTTTTCAAGTCGTGGTTGTGCTTTATCACTAACCAACCAATGTGTGACTCGTTTAGATGGGACTTCCGATCTTACTTCTCTACGTCTTGAGTAACATCGTCGTAAATGTCCTGCTACTCCAACTGATCCGGCTCACGAGTGTTTCAACCATGTACGGATGCACACTCGTCGGCTTTTTGACTTCATTTGTCGTTCTCGCGTGGTACCAAGTAGACCCAGACAATTTCGGCATCATTAACCTTCACGACGGTCTGCGGAACTGGATCCCTCCCTCGGTGTTCGTGGACGTTTTTGCGTTCCTGACCATATTTGCTGGCAAAGTACTCTATCAATGGGATCCGGATCCAGAGGTAGAAGCAACAACTTTATCTGCAGAGGACAAAGAGAACATGTCACTACTTGACGGAGAAGACGACTACGGATTGCGATACACGTAATACGCGTTAAGTTTGTAATACCAGAAACATGAAAGTCCGAGAAAGAGATCTCATCAAATACAAACTCCGGAACAAAATAAGCAAAACGATATAAACCCGGTAAGTAATTTTCCTTTGTTTGAAATCATTTCTGTTATGCTTCGCACTTGTGCGTGCAGATTGCAAGTATTGCGCAGCAAGTATGAGAGCTGTAGTGCCTCTTCGTTACTTCCTACCAAGGTTTCGCCAATTCCATTAGTCGTTTACTAACCGCCGGTGCAGTCAAAACTCCTCTTCGAAACACTGCAAGACCTAGCAATGTCGACAACACTGAAGCTGACGACGGCTTCACGCCTAGCCAAGACTAAGAAACCATTGTCAGATATGCATCAATTACAGCGTGCGGTGAAGGAGCTGCAACGTGAGGCAGCGGATCAGTTAGTCCTTGAAGTCGAGTCGCAGGCGACATTTGAGTTTCTAACCTCTCAAATCCGAGCTCTACGTAGTGCCTTTGATACTCTTTCGGACGTTCTGATGGCCGAGGTCGATGGTCTCCGCAAGGAAATGACTCGAAAACTTAGCGAAATGGACGCGGAAGTGGTTCGTCAAGGCGAGATACACAAGGCCACACACACTGAGGTGATGCAACTGAAGCGGACGATGGAGGTATGGGGCTTAAAGGAGCGTGACTGGGCGAAAGATAACGAGATCTTGAAGGCTTCACACAGTCACAATGTCGAATGGATGCAGCAATTGCAACGCGACGTAATGGACGTGAAGGACAGACTTCACGAGATCAAAAGTGACACTGGCAGTCGCATCTCGGAGATCTGTGAAGAGACAAATAGTTTACGCAGGAACTGGCAAAAGCACGTGGACGACATGTTAGATCGTCTGCAAGATTTCGATACCGTCGCTCAGAGACAAACTGCTGAAGCGCGTGTACAGGCTCAACAACGCGCAGATGACCTGGAGCTCATGGAGCAAGCTATTAGTACAGTGCAGAAGCAGCAAACGCAGATCCGTTCTGGACTCGAGAAGCAGACACAAAGCATTGAATCCCACATCGACTTGCTGGCCAAAAAGCTCGAGAATGCAGAGACCCAGACAAACAATCAAAAGGCAGCATTAGAGCAACTCCGAGCCAAAAACGCTCTCATGGAGAAGGAGCAGCGACGACGGATGGACAATATTGGCAAGATGTTCACGGTGCGTATTTATCTGTAATCTTGAAGACCTAATGTGAAAACTAACGGCTTGCTTGTAAGATTTTTGCCGACGCACTCAACATATCACCAACCATGCTTGCAGCAGCTAGTTAAAGAGCCAAACAAGAGCATATCTGTTAAGCAACACTCAGTTATCACGAACATATCTTTTCATCGTTGCGTTGGTTTCTATTTCAACACAGGCGACAGTACGTCTAGCGCGAGTTCATCTCCAGCGAGATCTGCTGCACGGCCTTAATGAAGGCGTCCACGTGCGCCGGCTCCATGTCTGGGAAGCAGCCGTGGCCGAGATTGGCCACGTACTTCTGCGTGCCGAAGCGCTTGAGCATCTTCTTGACTTCGTCGTAGATGATGTCCGTAGACGCGTAGATGACGCTCGAGTCCATGTTGCCCTGCAGCGAGACGCGGCCACGAGCAAGCTGACGCACCTCAACCGGGTCGGACTGCCAGTCCAGACCAATACAGTCGTACTTGGTAGCCACGAGCTTCTCGTACGCGTACTGGGTGCCCTTACAGAAGCACACAATCGGCGTATCCGGGATCTCGGCCTTGACTCGGTCCGCAATTTGGACCAGATAAGGGAACACAAACTCGTAGAAATGGTCCTGAGTCAGCACCTCAGCGCCTACACTCTCAAAGACCTGCAAGGCCTGAGCACCGGCACGCTGTTGTGCCAGCATGAAGTTCACACACACGTCCGTAATGCCCTGTAGCAGCTTGTGAGCTGCATCGGGGTGTTGGTACAGGAACGTCTTGAGTAGAGCCTTGGTGCGACTGCCGCTGCCTTCGATCATGTAGCACATGAGCGTCAACGGCGCACCCACAAAGCCAATGAGAGGCACCTCGCCGTTAATCTTCTGACGAGCCAAATTGAGAGCGTCCAACATGTAGCCCAATTTCTCCTCAATGTTGGGGTTCAAGTCGAGCTTGTCGATGTCCTCAGGTTTGCGGATTGGGTCCGGTAGCACTGGTCCAACCTTTGGCACCATCGTGACCTCCATGCCCATGGCCTGCGGGATCACCAGAATGTCCGAGAAGATGATGACTGCGTCCATGTGGTAACGACGCAGCGGCTGCAGACTCACTTCCACCGCGAGCTCGGGCACACCGCACATCTAATATACACAATAATAATATTAGGCACATAATGATATAGTTTACAGTATTTGCAATTATTGTACCGTGAAGAAATCATAGCCCATGTCGCGCAGCTCGCGGAACTCGGGCAAGTGACTACAATATTGTCAATAACACTGTTAGGCACTGGTGTTTCTGCTTATTAATGGACTGTTGACTCACCGTCCAGCTTGACGCATGCACCACACGGGTACACGCTCCGTGCGGTCGCCACGTAGCGCGCGGATAAGCAGGTCGTTCTTGAGCTTGGGCAGTTGGTCCAACGGCACACGCTCGAGCGGCGTACGCTTCATGGGGAAGGGCAAGCCCTTCTTGTTGGTCTTCTTGGAGCTCTTCTGCTGGCGCTGCACGATATACGCGGCAGCGGCGGCGGCCGAGATGGCCACGGCCAAGGACGTGGTCACTTCGCCTGCCATAGCTACGGTGGTCTGAAGCACTTGTGAACCAGCTGCGAGCAGCTTTTACGATGTGGAGACGCTGGTGATTGGCGGATAAAACAAAAGATACATAGACTTGATTGGATGATCTTTCAAATTTTAGCGCATGAGAGAGGTGATATTACGCAACATTACGCTATGTTGCGTTAACGCTGACCACTTCAACTACAAGATGCCCAGTATGCGCAGCCCAGCCTCGACGCTCAGACAGACGTTGACGAGGAGAGCGAAGTGGCCTGTGAAGGTTATTCAATGTTAAGTGGTGGGGCGAGACTTTAAGGCCAGTAAGACAGCGAATCCACTTACCGAAGGCCCCCTGCATGCGCTTCTGCGGATCTCCCGAAGAGTAGCCACGCATGTACACGACAAAACCGAGGATACGCGCGAGACCCGCAACGGTAGCAACCTGGGGACGGTACAACCTGCAGATAAAGAACAGCGCAAGTCCATTTAGTTTCAATCGCACTCCAATAAGCCAAGGCTTGGTTTGTTCGTACGCGGACGTGAAAAACAGGCCCAAGAAACTGGGGATATTCTCCACGATGTTTTGATGTCCTCGCTGCACGCAGTTAAACGCCTTGGCATTCTTTTCGCTTTTCTCCGCACACATCTACGTCATTGCAAGTTTCGTTTAGGCTACCAGGGTATCATTATAGTAACTCCGTATCTGTTTCCTCGAAAGCTCGAAAGCGTACCTGCGGATAGTCGACGCCAAATTTCTTGCGAGCCACTCCTACTTGATGGCCCGCCCACGTGTTCACAACGTGGAGAAGCACTACGACAAGAGGCACGTAGCCGTGAGCAGGCTGCAGTTCTAGCTGGATTCCGACCATATTAGCGCAGTCTTGAAGTGATGTCGCTGAAGGGCAAAATGTAAAATGAAAAGGAGGCAAGTGCATTTCATGAGAACCATCAAGTTGCTGGCTTTCGACTTGGGTGAGTGGCATCGCCAACGACTACTTTGAATGATGACGGGGTTGCTCATGATAATGCAGCTTTGGTTTGGCTAATGCTTCAGGGTGCTCGAACTCCGTAATCATGGGTATTTAATGCCCGGCTCACTGCAATTGTGCCCTTATTTGGTTGTACCATCATTCGTTAGTCATGAATAGCGCTAGACATTGCCGGCAAGCTAGTCGGGTACAGTAAAGCTAAACCAAATAAAAAAAGAAAAAATGATGTTATCATGCTCTCCATGTAAAATGGAGAATGTCAATGTTTCAACAAATTATCGCTTAGCGTTCTCGTTTAGCATTTCCACTCCCTCACCAGCTTGTTCACTGGACTGTTGAGAGATTCGTCGACCAAATATGCCAGTGACAACCTTACAGTAGTCCAAGAATGCGCAGACTCGCCTCAACACTCAAGATAAGGCTCACAAGCAGACCGAGGTAGCCTATTCACACCATAATGCACAAAATCAGACAATGACTAAAACTTTTACACACAAAGCTCCAATGCCTCACGCACCAAATGAACCCTGCAGTCTCTTTTTCGGGTCCCCCGACGAATAGCCGCGCATGTACATGATAAAACCGAGAATGCGCACGAAGCTAGCAATCGCAGCGATCTGAGGGCGATAAATCCTGTGTAAACACCGCAATCGTCATTCATTAGTAAGGATATTTCGCCGTTTTGGAGTAATACACCGTACGATGACGTAAAGACCAGCGCGAGGAAGATCGGGATATTCTCCATGATGTTCTGGTGGCCGCGCTGCACGCAATTGAAGGCTTTGGCGTTCTTGTCGCTCTGCTCCGCGTACATCTAGAGCCAACAACCACGTCAGCATTCGGCATTTTAACGCATGATGGTGTCAGTTGGAACGTACCTGCGGGTATTCGATGCCGTAGAGCTTGCGGGCTTTACCAACCTTGATCCCAGCCCAAAGGTTTACAAACAGCAGGAGCACCACGAGCAGCGGCACGAAGCCGTGTGCAGGCTGCAGTTCCACTTGGATCCCAGTCATTGTCGCCTTCCGTTCCGGTGTTGCGAGGGAGAGTGAAAATTACCGGCTGTTCAAAGGGGGTCTTCTATTGGGAGGGGGTCGATTCTATGGACCGAGAATGACTCATATCCCGTAAATGACTCTATGATGAACGGTGACCCACGATAACGCACTCCTGTGCGAACAGCAACTACTTGTAGTGATCCAGTATCGACACTCCTCAGCCAACACGCCACATCAACAATGTGGACGAATCCGGCTGCACCATGGTAATGGCAGGCACGTTTTCATCAGTCTCAACGTGTTTTGGTGAAGACTACAAGGGCTTCGTCCTCGAATCACCTCCGTTCTGCGTGAAGGCTACCAATCGTGGTGTAGACATCGTGCACATTCCGGATCGGCGATGGACTTGCCGAAGACGCACCACTTCGTCATGGCGTTCATGAGCCTCGGCAAAGTCACCGTCCAGCTGCCGACGAGAATCCTCCAAATCATGGGTCAGCATGTGAATGTGGTGCCGGTACTCTTCGAGTCGTGGAAACATTCACTGAATCCGGCCGTTATATGTGTGCCGAGCTGGGTGCAAACGCAGCGGTGAAGGACAAGGTGATGTGGATAGTTCCTGCCGAAAAGACCGCCATTGTCCAGGGGACGGTGGACCAATGGAGCTGGAGAGATAGCTATCAGATATCCATAGTTGTAAGCTGATCTTGCTCCGATGAATACTGAGAGGTTTGGAGAAAATGCATGTGATTTTTCATTCATTTACAACAAGATGTTCTTTTATACAGGGTGCGGATGTCTTGGAGTCTTCTATCGAGTGGCAGGCAGTCCGTTTATCACTAGTCTACCTGGTCCACCTCCCGTTTCCGCACAATTCGTCACGTGATTTTGGCGTTTTGGCAGCAGCTTCCAACCGTTGCTGCTGTGCCTCGCAGCACTTCCCTCTCGAGTGCTCGCGAATTTCACCGGCGTCCGTTGCATCGCTCATGGCACGTTTGCCTCACACTACCCCTTGACTTTGGAGGCATCATGAGCGTGCTCGCCGGTCGTTGTTTACTTAAGAGACTTGTCTCTTGATTGCTGTTGTTACAGTCGATTTCATGATCACTTTCATCGCTCTCCAGTTTTCTTCAAGAGCGGGAAAGAACTATATCAAATCCAGAAGACGTAGAGAGGCTTCCAACGAGAGTCCTAACATGACTAGCGTTCCGAGGTGGCCTGACAAATGCAACATAACAAGTTAGCGATTTAGCGCATTTCCCCAAAAGCTGACCGACAATTTACTCACCAAAGCTGCCTCTCCTCCTTTTCCCTGGATCTCCGGTCGAGTACCCTTTGACGTACACAATGAAGCCTACGACGCGCACCACACCGGCTGCTGCTGCAACTTTAGGACGGTAAATCCTGCATCATCATAACCAGTTATACACCACTTCATTGCTAGACACAAGAGTGCATGACTTACGAGGAGGTGGCGAGCATGGCATAGAAGAGTGGGAGGTTTTCGAGCACATTTTGGTGAGCGCGCTGCACGCAGTTGAACTCGTTGGCGTTCTTGTCCTTCTTCTCGGCGTACATTTGCGGGTACGAGACGTTGTATTTCTTGCGGGCGGCGCCGACTTTGAAACCGGCCCACGTACCGACGAGGCCGGCGCCGATGACTACGAGTGGTATGTAGCCATGCGCCGGCTGAAGCGAGACTCGCACTGCCGAGACCGACATGGACTGGTGAGAAGGTGACACTTGCTTGAGGTTCCTGTAGCTTGCGGGCTGATTGAGGCTTGAGCAGGCGGAGGCAAATTCCGTTGTGACTTCGACTTTGCTGCAAGTCCCAACTGCTGCAAGGAGTGATCATCGTGATGGTGCAGTGCAGCGCGCCGGCCTAAGATCGTGTCTTTAACAAATTGTTCAAAAGTACCATCGCCCTTCGTTTATTGATGTCACTGTTGCTTAAAGCTTTGTTGATGCGGACATACCCGAAGGGAAGAACTGATTTTCAAAAGCAGATGGTATCGCTGGTAAAAAGATACGAGGAGAAAACCAATATTTTGATCGGTTTCACCATGAATTGCTTCTTCACGTCTTGGTAACCGTATCAGATAGACCTCGAAGCAGAAGTGCGCATGGCACGTGGACCCGCGTAGACGCCAACTCGAGTGGTTCAAGGCGCAAGGTGGCGTTTCGGCGAGAAAGCCGCGTTGAAAAATTGTGCAATTGTGCAAAGCTGCCAAGACGAGAATCGGAGTCCGTCTCAGTTGAAGTGTCCCTCGAAGTGCAGCGACGAAGCGCCCGGGAACCTTCTCAAAGCGTATGGCTCATCGGGTCGTAGCGACACTCTCGTGCGTTTGAGCTCGCGCTACGACGATATTCGTCGAGTTAGCGACGGTCTCCGCTGTCGTTGGGCGTCGGCACGCGCATATTATTGCCTCGCGTTATGGTTTGTACCACGGAAGCTCATCGTGCAGCACGACATGGTGTAGCCAAGCTAGATGGTCGCTCTCGTGGAAACACGCGGAATCCGGCGATGGGCTGCACTGTTCTGCAGCCATTGCGGTGGACTTCAACTGGTTCCCGTAGAGGGAGATCCTATTCTTATCAAGTGCACTTCAACTTGGGTAGTTTCGTGGCTCTGCAAGAGGGAGAATGTCATCATTGTAGTTGCCATCGTCTGAGTTTAGTCTGATCTGGAGGATCAAATCACCATGGCTGCGTACGTTGAACACGACGTGCTCTTGAAGGCTAATCTAACTGCTGTTGTTGCTTGACCCAATTACTTCAGGGCGGCAGTCAAGAAACTCTCTCGATACTGCTGCAGCCACTGCGGAGCGTCGGAGCTATACCTGTACTGCTGGGTAATTTTGTAACCATGCTATTGCAAACAATACCTAAGTGCTTAGTATGCAGAACTGATGATTGGATTGTGAACAGAAAGGTTGCCGGCACGTGCAGAACATCAAGGTACTGTGTCATTTCCCGTCGTCTAGCTGCACTGGTGTACACTTGCTTACTGAACGACGTTTCCAAAGCAGTCCTTCTATGCTGAGACTAAGTCCATTCAGCAGGAATTGGAGATGCTACGCGTCACAATTTATGAGCAGGAAATTCGATTTCGCGAATACGAACTTCAGTTGGTGCGTTGAAACGGTCACTTGCCGCAGTAATATTCCTTAATAAGTGGTGGCCTCTTTCTCATATGCGTGGCGTGTAGAAAGAGAAGCAAAAGAGTTTGGAATATCTTGCAAATCAAGTAAACAAACTTCCAAGCTTTTACCCCGTTCAGTCATCCGAGGACAACAAAGCGATACCTCTTGGATTGCCAGCGTGGTCACTCGTTGCCGCAAAAATGGTTTGGCAACAGTTCGATGGGGACCACGACGGAAAATTGACTAGCGAGGAGCTCCATAAAGTCAAGGTGAGTTCAGTAGCAACACACAATGCTATCTACAATGACAGTTGACATCCTATTTGTCCAGGATCAACTACGAAAAAATCACGAAAACATTGATGAAATTCTTCCAGACTACCCAGCCGAGCCATTAACACCCCACCATTTCCTCAAGCTGTACGAATGTGGAGAAGGCGCCAAGTTGTCTGATGATCTCCGCTCTCTTGGGGTTTTATGCGGTAAGACTGTCCTGTTTGGGACGTAAAGGGCGCACATATAGTGCGCTGAAACATTTTTTTTTTTCTGTTTCCATAGGAACATCGGAGTCAATAGCCCAAACGCTCTCGACGTGCGAAGCAAAACTTAGCCGCATAACGCTGGAGTCTCAAGTACTGCACAGTTGTTTTTTTAGGTGCCGCCCTGCATATTTACTTTCGGCTTTGTGGTTCCTAGCAACTTCAGAAAGAGAGAGACAATTACCAGAAAGAAGTAGACGAAAGCCAGGTGAATTATCGATAGTGATGACGTCCTATACGAATTATTGACACACTTGATCCAACAGAGAGCAAAGACGCGTTTACGAGAAGTCTTCGCCGCTTCAAAACAATCACTAGAAGATCAGGCACGGGACCTTGTTAGATTACAGGAACAGGAGGCCGAAAGCGAGCTTCAGCTCCGACTCGCTGATGAGAAAGGTATGTTGACTGCTACTGTCTATCTACAATGCCACTTGAATCTTAAACATTGTCGATCACCAGCTGCAGCAGATGCAACTAGCCTGTCGAAAGCAAAGCGCGAGTTATCCTCAGCAAAACACGCTCTGCTAGACTTGAGAGCGCTAGTCGATGAGTAAGTCCCCCATCTAATGGATTGGGCTGGGCGATGGCTCATTTTTCGTTTATTTCTTATAGTCAAATAGCTGAAAAAGAGAAATGGCAGCGGTACTGCTGGGAGCTAGAAGAACGTTTACATGAAGCAACAAACGTCAGTCATGTAAAGGAGGTAACGAAGTTTTGATGCTCTATTTGTGAAGTAAATAGTTGACTCATCTCTTGTTTTTCACCAGCGCGATCTGTGGCGAACAAAGGACGCGAAGAAAGAAGAAAGCCGAAAGAACATGCTTCTGTATATTGAAGCACATAAAGGTAAACGCCACTTTGATCACCCAGCCGAATCCACGGCAAATCCAAATCAATGGCAAACGATAAGTGAATCCTGAATCGATTACCACTGACCTGGAACTACCACTGACCTGGAACTGGCGTCGTTTAGCACAGCTTGCATACAGTTCAAGAACAAGCAGCAACTCTGACACTGATAAAGCAAGTACTTCTATCGATATAACATATACTTTTCCATTCGACTTTCTTCAATCCCAGTATAACAAGTACTCAGTGAGGCCTACTCATGCGTCCCCTCATCTGAAAATGGCTGGTGTCACTGCCCTCCCTACGCAGGGGAAGTATGAGAGGCGGACTCTAATGCACTCCGGTCATTTGTCTAATCCTGGGGGACGCCCTCGTTAGCTATACAGTGTAAAGTACGACAGTAGTTAAGCGCATTGCGCCAGGTATCGCTGCCAATTGTGCTATTTGTAACCAAGGGTTACAGGTTACACGGGGTACTAAAGTTGCAATTCACAACTTGTATTTCACGAATGTGCTGCTGGCCTGAATAGAAGCTGTACATGAATGCACTCTATACAATCAGATGCCCTTGTTGTAGATGAAGTGGCGAATGGGCTGGCCGTGGCGGTCCACCCGAGACCGGAACTCCTCCTCAACGCTATCGGCTGAAATCGTACCCATCTGAGGGAAGAGCGCAACAGCGCTCGGCATGGCACCCCACAAACACATCGTTAGCACGACTGTTGCATATTCATGCACAACACACAACAAGTTAGCTCATTAATACGGAGTGGAGGCAAAAATGACGCGCGTACCAAGCTCTGCAGCAAGCTTCGGGTACTTGGCTTTGGGCATGATGTTGGTCTTCTTCATGATCTCATACAAATACGGCGGGAGCAGCAAAACTGTTTGAAAATAAACCGATTACAGCTCTAGTAAGTTCCATTCTACTCAAGTAGAACTGGTAAATGTAAGAACAACGTACTCGGCATGGGAAGCGCAATGCGCGTGAGTGCCACCTGGCCAAGCGACTGGCGTCCAGCAGCAACAGAACGCCCGTGCACGTCTCCGTGTTCGTCCATGATATCAATGCCTTCCCTACGTATCAGCAACACATTCTAATTAGCACAACAACATCGTATAGTTTCATGAAGATGCTCAACACGTAACGTACTGGAACTCATTGAAACGCATCGACACGGCGTTAAAAGCACCCGCGCTTGCCACAGCAACGAATGGAACCATCTGACCAAATAACAAGCATAGATATGAGGTCACGAAGAAATGAAGAAACGAAAGTTGATCAAGCAGTCTGCACTCACCTTTCCGAGGAACGAACGCGTGCTCGGTGAAAGCCTCTTCGCCTTCTCCACCATCTTGCCCAGACCAACGGCAGTCGAACAAGACACTAGCGTCGCGGTAGCGTACGATTCTGTAATGCAACGCAAAAATTGTTATTACGAAAACAACCTGTCATTTGCATGGATAAACTCGTACTCAAGATGGTCGAGTTGTCTTGCTCACTGCTGGCGTTGCGGTTGGCGTAGTTGAAGCCAGCGCTGTAGCTTTGGTTAACCCATTGCCAGAAAATCGTATTTCCCAACTGTGAGAATTGTACATGATATTCTAGTGAATATAGCAAACAAATTAGGCTTCGATTGTAGCATGATAACGTACCGTGGGAGGGGCAAGCAGCATGCCAACGCAGATGGGAATATTCACAGGAACGAAAGCCGACAATCGAAACAGGGCCGGAACCGTCTCGCCAGTTTGAGGGTGCACCGCAGCCTCATACGCTTAATAAAAAAATCTAAGCTAAGTACACGAGTTTTGCAACACGCTGTCAAAATGTGCTTACCCTGGCGGAGGTTCCAAAGTTCAGCGTCCTTAAATTGTCCGGGGGCGATTTTACCGTTGCGAAAGTCCTCCAGCGTCTGCGCCGCGTGCTGGATCTGCTCCGAGCTCAGAAAAAGCCACCTGTAGCAGGCCATGCCGTGTAGGAGTCATCAACTTCGTCAATCCATCCACCAAAGCTGCTGACTTACTTTGGCGACACGAGCTCCGCAAACTTGCGCCATCGACCGATGTAAGTCGAAGTATCGTGGCGCGGCTTGTCTAGTGTGTACAGTCAATAAAATCAAATGGTCAGACTCGATGGTGTCGTGGTTGGACGGCTGTGCGAGCGTGCCAAGCGCTCGTACCGAGCGAAAACGGAGGCACTTGGTCGTCAGACATTGCAGGTGGCCGATTGGAACTGATGCTGCTGCGGAGAGTTCACGAGTGAGAACAAGCCAGCACGGAGACATGGTTGGTTCAGACCCCGCGCATCATTACGAACTATCCTGTTGTCTCTCCACTAAAGAATCTCCAGCCAAGTCTTCGGCCACGTCAGTGCGGAGGATGCTTCACACCACCAGCTGATCTTATCAGGCTCCAATTTTACCACAAACGGGTTCCTATGACACTTTTTATTGTCCATTTTCATACTGTTTTAGCTTGACTGACGGCAGCTCACATGTCAAGCCGCTTATTGCTACAGTAATACTGTCAGTATCGGTATTTGTGGATATTGCACTACGATTCTATTGCGGACGTGCAGCCGATTACCTTGTGGCAGTAGCCAACAAAATTGTCTTCATTCATTTTGATTACTGCGAGAAGGGACAAGTGCAAGTTCAACTACCGGTTAATTTGTAAATTTAACAGGAGGCCTCACAAATTGAGGATTTTTGTCCGATTCCCCCTATTTGCTTATTAGAGGGACCAGCAGGCAGGACAATAGAGGGAATGTGAGGGATATCATTGTCTTTAGTGTAAGTAAGTATGAGGGAAGTGGTCAATTCGAGGCCGGTTTGCAGGTGCAATTTTCGGAAAGGCACTGCGTCGGACTCCAGCCTCGGAAGTCATAAGTTTTGACAGTTCTGGAAACCTCCAGAATCCCTCTTTTTTTAAGGAGGTGATTGGCACATAATATGACAGTGTTGGTCGCAGTATTGTTATTTAAAGAAACCACTGGAATTGTGGCCGAGGTTCTATTAAAGGCCGGAATTAGACTTGTCTTGAGTATATTCATTGGTACACCAGCATCAGGGGTAGGCCTACTAGAACGGTGCATATCGGTCGTACTTAAGTCATTATCATAGGCTACTAGGTTTGAGAGGTGATGCCATTTTGGAAAGGACTGTATTTCCAGAAGCACGCGGACACAGACAGCGCTCGAAATGTCGAGCGGGGCGCCGGCCCTGCTCGAGTCCCCAGAGCTCGCTGCCACCCGGAGAACCTCGTACGGCTGCTCATGCGTCATGGCTAGCGACTCCCACTTTTTGCTGAAGCCAAGACCTCCTGTGTGACGTAAAACCGCCCGGCAGGGTGGGGGTAACGCTGCCGGATTGAAAGACGCACAGATCCGACCAATTTGGTAGGGCAATCTCTTAGTTCCACATACTTATGAGGTCGTACTGACAACTGCTGTGCCTAAGCTACTGTAGAATCTACAATATCACTGCCAGTGTCAACGCTTGGCGACATCGAGGTCGTCTTCTTGGAAGGCTTAGCACCTGAACTACTCGTGTTCGCGCTGGCAGTGATCGCTCTTCCGCCAGCAGTTTGGATTTCGCGTCAAATCTGTATAAATTTCTGTGAGTTTCGTACTTAGTTGTATATCTACAAATGACATGCTTGGAATCGTAATACAGCGTATGCATTGGCTAATATCACACCGGCCTCGAATAGATCCACCGGCCTCGAATTGGAAGTTTCCCTTAAATGAAATGGATCCATATTATCATAGGCAAGCTAGTATTTTTTTAAACTAGTATCAAGTGTCGACACTTGTCGGAATTGCTTCGTGTGTAGAATCCCTTCTAGGGAGCAATCGGTTAGGGATTGACAATATCCATCCCGTTCCCAGCCGATGATAAAAAAATCAGACTCTACCGAGGCAGTGTTGTGGAAAGATGTAGCCAGGACCCCACAAAAGCTCTGCAGCGTCTGAAACCGCTCTCTCAAAATCTTTCATCCTTCTTCAACAGTTATTTTACTGTCGTTGCACTTGGACAAATTCTTCGCAAGAACATTTTCTTCTATGACTATTTTTTTCGTAAACTGTGGTGGTCGCTTTCAATCGGTGTAATTTATTCAGTGCTCCACCCTGCTGCCTTCAGTCTAGGTTCGTATGTTTTAATGAGTCTGCATACCTTTGATGTGCGTATTGTTTAAAGGCAAGATTTGTAAAAACCCTTTCGGCAGGCAACGGACTGATAACCTTTCCCACTTCTGCGAGCTTGACATTCAAACCTTTTAGTTTTGATTCTTGGGTCTTCAACAAAGTTGTCGCTCCTTTAAGACGCCGACACGCTGCCGATACTGCACGCTCGTGGTTTTCTTCCGCTTGTCTTCAGGTTTGGCTTCACGGCCAAATTTGATGCAAAAATTGCATGCTATGGCAAGTATTGCAGACGTTTCAGGGTGCTGCTCGGAGATTTTTAAACCATACTTGACGTTGTGCCCTTGCTTGAAAGGTGTCTTCAGCGGCCGCGGCATATCGCTACGTAAACACATGTAGCTAAAAACGTTTTGTCGGCGCTCGTTTCCTTTCGAGAAAAAGCAAATAGTCGCCGGGCTTATCGATTGGAAAATGATTTCTGTGAGCTGTTGGTAGCAGGCCATTCACTCTGATGTGTCCATATCAGAGTGAATGACCTTCTATCAACAGCTTACAGAAGGCATTTTCTCATAAACGTTTACGCTTTAATGTGCATCGGACTGATATTTTCGCACCAAATTGGCAATGTGTCAGCACTGGGCGATTTAACACACCTAACAACTTGCCAGTTTTAGCGAGGGGCGATCGGAGAACTTAATTGATGTACTACGCGGGATATAAATCTATTTCCCTCAATTAATGAGGCCTGAACAGGAGAGTGTACTGGCAGCACCAACAAGTGTACAAGAAATACCAATAATGTACTGCTAGCACCACAAAACCAGCAGTTGTACCACAGAAGTGTTAGCCACCATCCGCACTTAACCATTGGCACCATGCCACAAGAAGTGTCCCTTTTTAACCAATCACCGCCAAACTGATGTCCTGCAAGAATCCACCTTATTTCATTCTGCAAAACACCCATTCAAGCTTTAGCCCCCCTCTTCGCCACGCCCCTCATCTCTACAAAATGGCTCTCCACCACCATCGTCACTCCTGGCAGCTTATTGCTGTGGCGATGCCACAGCCCGAGGTAGACGCTCTGTTAGCGAACTTCAAGAAATATCGTATTGTGAAAAGCGAGCTGGGGTAATGCCATGTCTGTATGCACCTTATCCCTCATCCCATGCGCGTCCAGCTTCTGCGCTGTGGCTGCAAGGCCTGTGTAGTGGTAGTCGTCACTACAGAGTGCCCGGGTCATGGATTGTCAGCACAGCAGGCTTGTCTCGATCGAAGAAGCCTACAGTCATTTGGCGCCAGCTCGTCCGCAGGGTCATCCTGTTTTGGCTCCTCCAAGGAAGGAGTTATCAAGGATTGGTCAACGCAAGGGCTGAAGCCAATGTGGATCTGGGACGCACTTCTTCAGCGCTTCTGTATCATTGCTGCAACCGCACCAACCCTGGCCATCGTGCAACATTTCACTCACCACCACGTGACCGGAAGGCTCGGCGGAAGCGACGTCCTAGATGCAATTCGGCACGAGTCTGGGGTATTACCTTTACAGGCCAAGAAGAGGAAATGGCTGTTTTTACGTTTACTTCTCGAATTGATAGGGACGGCAACCCCACAACGGGAAATGACAGTGACGTAGATCTGTTCGTAGTTGGTGTCAGCTCAAAGAATCTTCTTCGATTACCGGGGTTTTGTTCTTCACATGGACGTCACTTACAAGCTGACTCAAGTTGGCTATCCAGTCGTTGTAGTAGGCATTTCCGACAGAGTGAAGCACTTTCATCTCGTGGCAATCTGCATTGTATCGCAACAACAGCAGCACAATCACTCTGAAGTACTGGGCCTACTAAGACGGGTGTACCTGATGCCATGGAGGTTTATAAAAAGACACGCTGTATGACTTCCGATACAGCTGCTCTGGTGATGGGCCATCTACACGAGCTTCACGAGGGAAACTAAGGAGGCCATCCAGCTGGGAGGGCCCCCACAAAAAATTATTTGTTGCAAAAAATAGACGATCTGTCGGCAACGGCAAATCTAATTTTTGGCGTTGCCGTGGCTACAGCAAATATAGTTTTCAACTACGGCTACCTCCACCATGAGGCCCTCGTTTCCGCCTTCCGGCTTTGCCATAGTGACTTTAAAACTGGGTACGTCTACTTTCGACGCATTGTTTAGCGAAGCACGATCATGCACATACACACCAGTTTTTCGAGAGGTCGGAGGAGCTAGTGATGACCCATTTCGAAGCCAGTCGCGCGTTATTCGACTGAGTTCGGCACTAAAACTTGTCCAAAAAGTCATTAACG